GTGATAAAGTGGTATCCTAACGAGGAAGGAATGAAAGCAAACAAAGGTAGAAAAAACGGTTGTGAACAGCACAAAGACCATCTCTTCCAGGGAAATTGGAGAGAAGACAATGATGGGATAAAATACAAAGCAGAAGGTGATTCATTAGCGTTTTTTGTTGTGATTGATATTATTAGTTAGCTGGTGAGAAAATCTATCTTGGCTTGATGAGAAATGCAGTGGCAGAGTGCTCTAGGAAAGCATGTAGGAAAGCATCCAGCTGTGGCTGCACTACTCACTGTCTGCACTCTAGCTGAGTTTGATGCTCCTATCCAGCGTTCTCATGGAAGCCTGTATTCGACTCTACTCTTGCATTTGTCTCATTATTGTGGAGGAAATGTCATGTTCTGTCCTGTTTTTAATTCCCTAGACCAGCACAGTAGCTAGTATTTGAGTAGTATTTGAGTTGAATTCTGTGTGTGTGTGTGTGTGTGTGTGTGTGTGTGTGTGTGTCTGTGGGTGTGTGGTTGTGTGCACACTAGAAGGTGGTGGGAGAGAGGTAGTTGTGGAGAACCGAGATTTAGACTGTGGTTAATTTTCTCCAAAACTTCCATAAATACACACCTAAGCTGGTGTCCACTTCCTTCCACTCACTTGGTAAACTCTCTGAGCTCTCAAATATGATGTCAGATACTTAGGTATGAGGTCACAAGAAAAAACCCAGTCACAATACTAGTGTATTTTCATAAAAATCTATACTCTTGTGAAATGCTTCTACATAAAATTCTTATTATAAGAGATGCCAGATCTGGTATATGAAGTTTAGTGCTCAAAACAACATTGGGATGAAACATATGTCTTGCAAAACATGACTGGGGAAAGGTGGACAAATCTTCAAGTTAAAGATGCAAGCTTGTTCTGGATGCATATGAAAACATACTCACCTAAAATCTAGAAATTTCAACATTGCCTTTTAAAAATATATACATAGACCACTAGGCACAAAATATGATTACATACTTAAAAAATCAACTTTTATGTCTGAGTCATACATAAGAGTTTAGACTCATAAGACATTTCTCAATTTGATTTAAATGTAGTAAGCTTTCTCCGGTTTTACTTTTCACAACCATTAACTGAGATACATAACATACAACAATGAAAAGCATTCAGTGCCAATCTGCCACGAAGCAGTGATGAGCATAATTTATTACTAATTACCTGCACATTTCTTACAGATGACAACACAGAGATTGATGGATGCCCAGTCAGGATCCGGGGCTTTGCAATCCGCACAGCTCCTGTTGGATTCATTGAACCAAATCTTCTCAGCTACTTCATAATCAGAGAGAGTTTCTGCTATTGATTGCTGCACAGCTTCAATCCAGTCTTGTTTCTCTTTTTCAGTCTCAGCTGTAAAGCTGAAACAATGAATGTTCTTGTGTTATCGATCTCCCTTGTATAGGCCAATTAAGCAATATGTTCAGTTTGCATATTCATTTCACTCACGGATCAAACAACAGCTGAAAAATATGCCTGCTAGGCAGTTCTGGGTTGTCTTTTCTGTTAAAAATCATTTAACTTAACAAATCGTATTTTTTCCTTTTAATTTTCCACATTGCTATGTCTTTGTTTACGTGTCCTGAACCAAAATTAACGTACACCTTTTCTAAGGAAAACATAAATTTTGCCTTGTTAGGTCACAAGCCTAAACAAGAGGCCATGCTTCCCCAAGCAATGGTTATATAATCATCAATAAGAGATTACTGGCAGAGTTTCAGGGCTACTGGAATATTTTGCCAAGCAAGTATGCCATGATAGTCTGAAGCTACATTATCAAAAACACCCACCAGAAATTGTGACTTTTTTTCAGACTTAAGAATAGATTATTTTTTTTAATTAGAAGAATGTCCAGATGGTTCTAAGTAGCTGGGAAATCAAAAAAAGTTTTAAGTGGTTACTATTCTAACAGTTCTCTAACACATTTTTAGCCATGTTCTGATTTATTCTGAATCTTAATGTTTACTGGGTGCTCGAGTGAATGAATAAAAACATTAAACAGAAGTTCGGTCCTTCAAGAAATATTTACTGAGCCCCTACAGTGTGCCAAGGAACGTGCTACAGTGCTACATACTTAGTGAATGACCCAGAAAAGTGATTCATATTAAAATTTCTGTTGTAAAGAAGAAAATGCTTTGAAATATAATGAGAATCACAGCTAACATATTCTAAATAATCTATAAAAATAAATGGCCTACATGAATTATACTTTTTGAAGCTCTTTGGGATTCCATTACTCTAATATTGATAACATTCTTAGTGGTTTCTGGTTCTACTAGAAAGTCGTCATAGACAATATATTACTATTTACATTTTTAGTTTTGGCTAGAATCTGCAAATGTAAAAATAAAGCTTGTTATTTTATGTAATCATTTCTTTCTCAAAATTTGAGCCAATGGATATATCTTAACAGACAAAATGAGTAACCACACTTGACAGTAACTTTGAAATTCCTAACTGCTAGTCCTTTAAAGGCCTAGAGTAATTGCCTCTGACTTCTACACTACCCTGTGATGTCTTGATTATTTATAACAAACAAATTAATATGGATGAACTCAAAAGATGTTGACTTATGCCTATTCTGTATACTAAAGCTATGGAGTCATTTTAGTTTATTAAATCACATTGAGTACTTTAAATTATCTGTTTCATTGTCATAAGGATGCAACTAATAGAATAATATAAGATGTATAAAAAAGCTAAAATATTTTGATCAATAGGTGCTATGAGATTCATTAAATTCAGTATCATTTTTAAGCTAGAATCCCTGGAGAAAATAATATAGAGCAAATGTAACTAGGAATTGATTTTGAATGAGGGATTGTATTTGATCAGGCTAAAAGAAAATAAATAACAATACAACTTAAAGATAATGTAGTATGTTTTTCTTTTATTCCTTCTGAAAAGGAATTTATCATATTTCTTTTCAAAAAAATAACACAAACTATGCCTAGTAACAAAAATAAGTATTAAAAAATTACTCAAATTTTATGAAATAAATATTTTTGCATATTTTGTGATTATTCAGGTCACTTTTACAAGGTGTATTTATATAGTGGCTAATAAATTAGATGATATGGAAAAGTAGGAAGATAATTTTAAGTGGTCTACAAGAGATAAAATCACCACCAACAACATAAAGGTGGATCACCCAAACTTTCCTAAAGTAGTATGAACACAAAATGTTTAAAAACAGCTTACCTGAAACTCCTATAGGGAGTGATTATTTCAAAAGATTGTTTTGCAGATCGGTCCACTTGCTTTACATTTGCTACATTCATAGGAATTACGGTAATGCCAAGTCCACTCTTAAAATCCTAGTTTGAAGAAAAACATTTAAAAACTATAAACAACAACAACAAACAAGATTTTGAAAGTATAATGATATTTTCTAAATTCCAATAAATTCTACCAGATTTTACTATAAAATCTCTTATTTCAGGTAGCCACTCTCAATGCATAACAGCACTGGGCCATCTTAAGCTTGACAGTCAGATTGTTGATAGCATATGGGTTTCTTCCATGTGAAAGATACACTGACAAGGCCACAGACACTAAACTATACATACTTTGCTTTTGAAAGTGGGCACGACACTCATCACCTTTGTCCATTCCTTAAAGGAAGCTAAATATTAACCACCTATTATGTGTTAAGCAGTTTCCTAGGTGGAAGAACCAAATGACACTAAGAGGTGAGCATCATTACTATTTATGTAAAAAGATGGGGAAACTGAGGCACAAATAAGGTTGCATGGAAAGTGCAGCCAGTTGTACATGGTAGAAAAGATCTGGAGCCCAATCTGTTTGATTGCTCTTTCCTTATTTCACCATCTTAGATTATTTCTGCTGTGTAACATTATTTTTCTCCTCATCTACTCTCAAACAAAAGCATTACTTGTTTTATGAGGTATACAATTTTACCTCATTTCCAATATTTTATTGCTTTCATCACCCTTCAATCAGATTCCTAAAAACTCCTCTAATGCTACTTTGGTATAGAAACTGCCATTTGCTCAAAATCTATAGTTACTATGTTCAGCTTGCCTCATGAAAATTCAAAACTGTTTAAAAGGCTACAACAGACTGCATTCTAAAAGCATTAAGGTTTGCAATATATCATCTACCCATATGGATTTCAGAATTTGACTTACCAAATAATCTCTACACTTTACAAAAGAGAATATGTACATCAAAAAATGAATGACCTATGTGAATAAATTCAGATTAAATGTGCTCTGAATTACTAAATTATGACTAAAGAAAAGTAGCAATAGTAAAGGCAAAATATAAAAAAACAAAATGAAACAAAATATTGGCCCATATTCAGTAAGGACACTTGGTGGAGACCGCGAAAGAAGCCATTCATATGCCTCTTCTTTGTCTCTCCTGCTATCTAGGCCAAAAGTAAAAGTAGTGGCCATGTGTTGTAGTTTCCATCAATAAAATAAAAACTCCTGGGAGGATGAAGGGGGAAGAGCCGGCAAGTCTTAGAAGAAAGCCTTTCACCCCTTGCCTTTCCATCTTCTGGGGCAGTAACTGCTGGAAGCACAGAAGCCATTTTAGAACTTTATAATCCTAGAAAAGGGGAGTCTGAGGACAAATTCTTAGGTTCTAATGATACATACCAAAGTGAGGACAAAAATAGGGAAAACCGGGCTCCCTGGTAGTACCAAATCTTCCTGCCTACACCAAAGGATCTGTTAAAAACAGATCTCCAGCTAGTTAAGCTGTTCTTCAGGTTTTTGTCATTTAGTACGATGTGTTCCAACTGATAAATAAGTGGGAAAAAATAATTTTATAACAAATGTCCCCCAACTTGTAAGAGTATCCAGAGTTTCCAGAGTCAAATTGTGGAAAAGCCTCTATTACTTTTTTAATATATAAGATTTTTAGTTAGAATAAGGAAATGATTCACTTAGAAAAATAATCATCAATTGAATTTTTTTTTCTGATGAAAGAAGATCCTTTCGTAGTTCACGAGCATGACGAATGGGTGTTCACATGCTTATGTGAGATGTGCCACTCTTGAGCTTTGTCACAACATCGGCACGTTACCCATATGACCAGAAAAAAAAAAAAAAGGAAAAATAAGGAAGGAAAAGGAAAAAAAAGAAGAAAAAAAGAACTAATAGCTCACTTTACTAGGAGAAACTAGCCAGAAACTGAGAATCTGTGATAGAAAAGATGCAGAAAAATGCTGAGTGCTGTAAGAGAGTGACATACTTCCACTTTGTATAATAAGCCTACTTAATGAAAAATAGTACTTAACATGATCTCTACCGAAGGAAGAAAATCAAGCTTTTCCAATCTACCACACTTTATGAAGTTTCAGCATATTGGCACAGAGTTATACTTGGTTAATAATGTTTTAAATTCCCCAATTATCCATAGCTATGCTCCTGCTAGATCACATACCTGATGAATAAACTCCCAATGTAGGTGATTGGGAACTCAAATTCTCTTTCACAAGTGAGGAAATAAGGTAGCAGTAGCAAGATAAGATTATTTTTAAAACAGCTTTTTGATGGCTCACCTTGATACAGAAATAAACTCTAGAAAAAACAAATAAATAAACTCTAGAATATATAATTGGGCTGCATGTCCTTCAAACAATTCTCCATAATGAGGCATTTGACAAAAGCTAGATATCAGATCACTCCAGGTTATATTCTCTGATGGGGGCCTGGCCTGCAAGTCCCATATATTACTAAGGGCACAGATAATACTCTGACCATCATACCAGCAGATGGTAACAATGACAACCTTTTATGGAAACTGATGAGCCTCATCAAGGCTCCTGCATGAATAGATGGCTATTCATCTCCATGGTAAGTCATAAAATATCTACATGTAAAACTAATTTCTATTAAAATAAGTGAGTGCTGGTTAACACCCCAAATTTCTCCCAAGCAAGGCAAAGATGATTTTTTTTAGTCTGGAAAATTGTAACCCACTTATCAGCCGCTTGCCATGGCCATATGGTTTTAAGTAATTTGAGTGTCTACAGAACTGACCAGCATAAATTAACTGTAAAATACACATCAAAGTGACAAAATAAATGTCGGTGTTGTTGAGAGCTATCATATATGAGACAGCTGCATTTTCTATTAAAAAGTTGTGGACATTAAGCCGTTATTTTCACAGTATTTAGACAGCATTTAGAACATATTTAGAATATTTCTCATCCCTAGATATTCATAAATATTATTTGTGGTGATCTCTCCCTGCCACCCAGTGACTCTGAGTCCATGAATCTGGGGGCAGAACCTAAGAATTTTTAATTTCCAAAAACAAAAGTAAAACCTCATGGCTTTCAGATGTGGTCAATGCCAAGAATCACTGATTTAGATAGCAGAACCAGATGCCCTTTATTTAGATGGTTTAAGTATGTAATATTTAACTATCAAGACATAAATACTTCTCTCTTTAACCAGGCACTGTGGCTCACACTTGTAATCCAACACTTTGGGAGGCCAAGGTGGGAGGATTGCTTGAGGCCAGGAGTTCAAAACCAGCCTGAGCAACATAGTCAGATCCTGTCTCTACAAACAAAAACCAAAAAGACTCAATTTTATCTGCTTCTGTAGAATGCATGCAATCAGAAAATATAAAAACCACGTGAAATAATTAAGACTATCAATTTCAAATAAGCAGGCCAGAACAGGGCGACACATTCGATTGTTGAGATCCTATTTGTCCTGGGTGCCAACTCCCATGTTAATGTCCAGAGGTGCTAAAAGCATCTGTCTTCATTAAGCATATAGAGTGTACTCTGTAATTGGTTTAATATCTATTTGTGTCATGCTATAAAGTTTACAAACAGCTATGAACTCTCGTTTGATTTTCTAAATAGTTCTGTGAAGTAAGCAGAGCAGATACAGCCATTTTTTAATGGGAAAATTAGTCCTGGAAAAGCAAAGCAGTGCTTAGTAAGTACCTAGTTGAGCCAGAAATTGTGCTAAGTCCTTGGGCTACACAAAAGCATAACACTGGGTATCTGTCTTGGGGAAACTTTGGTCTAAAAATGAGATAATAGAAAAATGCAGTAGTATAATGAAAAAAAAAAATGCCTGGTGGTAGAGGTACTGAATCGAATCCACAAGACAGAGTTGTGTTCCTAACGGGCTTTCCAAAGGTTGTGATGCTTGACTGGCCAAAGGACAAACCCAGACTAGTTTCATATTCAGGTATCCCTCTCTCACTTGTTCACCTATTTGCAAAGTAGGAATAATAGTAGTACCTACAGCATCACTTTTGTGATGCAATTGATGGAATAAAAATACTTAAAAGAATGCCTGGCACACAGTAAGTGCTATACAGGACTAGCTAACTCTTCTTGCTATTATTTTTATCTCATACCTTTAAAATTTGAAACCAACTGAACATAGTATCTATTTAAAACTTAATTACAAAAAAAAATACATGTCCTGTCCAAAAATAACTAGCAGGCATAAATGTTTTAAAATAGAATGCAATGTGAATGTTAAATGTTCAACTAAATGAAAAATCAATTACCCATTAACTACAATCTCATTGTAAGCTTTATTCTTATTATGAAAAATAGGCATGAGCCAGGGACAAGCCAAACTATCAACCTTTAAAATGCTATATACTGGATTGAAAAAAGCATTAGCAGAAAAATTCAGTGGGTAGAGTTATAGTACTACAGAAAGTAAAAAGCTGAAAATAGATTCTGAAGTAAACAATATTTTAAATTTAATTTTCTGTGATAGAATGTAGGATGTCAAGAATCATGAATCCTAAATACTAAATAACAGTGTATTTTGTGTGTGTGTATGTGTGTGTATGTGTGTGTGTGTTTGTATATATATATATATATATATATATATATATGTATGTGTGTGTGTATATATATATGTATGTATATATATATATATATATATATATATATATGTGTGTGTGTGTGTGTGTGTGTGCACAAAATACTAAATCCTATAACACTAAATGATCCTAAATACTAAATACTAAATACTAAATAAGAACCACTAATACTAAAATAATAGTGTCTATGCTTGGCTTAGCAGATCTGGCCACTGTAAGGGTGGTACAATGACCATGTATGCACTGCAGGTCACCTCTGGGGAGAGTCGAAGCTGAGCCACTTACTGGCTATTTCATCATCGGCTAGTTAGTTTATGTAGACCTCAGTTTCCTTATTCATGAAAATAGGCAGGTCTGCCTTACATGGTATTATTATAAAGATTAAATAAAGCAATATAAATTAAGGGCCTGATACATCCACATAATTCTTTCGTTTGAGGGTTCTAAAAGCAGAATTTAAATACTTCCATTTTTTAATAATTACAGAAAGTATTCATTCCAATGATTCCATATGAAATATTCGGATAAAATTAATGATAAATATTTACCAAGATACTGAAATGGGTTATTCATATGAATGTGCAGCAACAGAACCTGGCGAAAACTACATTTTAAAACTACACAGTGAAAGAGCAAAATACAAGTCCGACTCCTAAATGGAAAAAAAATAAGGAAGGGTTTGTTAACCCAAAATCTGCTGAAATCTCAAACCTATTTTTGGAATTACTGGATGCCAGGTTTTCATGCCAGGAATTTAAGAACTCAGTGCTTAAACATTTGTTGAAAACAGATGTGGCATTGTATGACATTGGCACCAGATTTCCTGGGAAACACCAGATGCAGAGTTTGGCCAGATACAGAACCCAGAGAATTTGAGGCCACCACCTCCATCCTGCTGCTCCTTTCTGTGCTACACAACCCGTCGCCCTATGAGGTCTATTTAAATTCTGTTAGAGTTGCACTCCCATGCCAGAACACCAGGGAACATTATGCTGGGGGGAATGAGGAGGGATGAATCTCTTGTTATACCCTGATTCAAGAACGTTTAATCAAGTGAGTTGATGTAGTTAAATCTCAATGCCACAATTACTATCAAATGGATACCCAAACTCACCAAGCAAGATATCTGGCTGTGATGAATTCATTAATATTAACATGATATTAAAAATATCAAGAGAAGATGGGAGGCTGACGGTCAGGACAATAGAACAAATGGAAACCAACAGCAATTTTCTTAAATCTTCCTCATCTCCACTTGCAGAAATTCCTTTCAACTAGCAATACCACTTATATAACAATTCACCTATTTAAATATATGTCCGTATTTGATTACCTTATTTAAACTTTTAAAAATTCTGACTCACACACAATACCCTTATCATTTCAAGATAAATAATTTACAGAATAATTTTTGTGCCAGAATACAGAAACTCTATCAGCTTTGAGCTGATTAAAAAACAGTTCACTTCCACAAACAAAATTTCTGCAAAACAAAAAGTAACTGAAAAATTAAAAGAAACAAATAGTTCAGAAAAAAGTGTAGAAAATATGAAGATTCATGTCTTTTTTTATATAATGAGCATAAAGTCATTAGCAAGAAAGCCAATAAAATTTCAATAAGTAAATTGACAAAGCAGAGGAAGAGACAATTTGAGAAAAAAATAATTTTAAAAGAGAATTGGAGGAAAAAAAGATAAACTCTTCTGTCAAAAGAAACAGCTATAAATGATCATTAATTCAACAAGTTCACCCTACCTATGTTTACTGAGTACTAGCTTATTGCCTGAGGACACAGGAGTGAATAAAGTAAATATTCACACTGTCAATTTGGGAATATAAAAATGATAAACCTAACACTTTTAAGGTTATAATGTAACTGGATATCTCTCACATAGCTGGTAGCATTTTAAATATAAACTACTCTTAAGAAAGGGGTCATCGGAATGCTTTCCAATAATAATAATCATAACCAGCATCAGAAAGGAAGGCAAGGCTACATATAGAAGGTTACCAGAAACCTCATTTATTTATCTAACACTATATGTTACCCCATCAGTAAGGTCCCAGAAAGCAGAGATCTTGTGGGTGTCTACAGCAGTGCCCAGAAATGAGAAGATGCCCCCTACATGTGTCACCTGGATGAATGAATCCAGAAACATGGTCACTAGAGTGTAACCTACACAAACCCAATTACACAGCTCATTTTATACAATCCTCAAGTAA